ATAAAGAATATATTCCGAAATGGTTGAAATAAAATTCAGTTGCAATAAATTTACAATTAATATGTATATGATTTAAACAAGAGCAAGATCCCGTTAATTTTTAAAGGTACTACCTTAAAGTTTTCTTTTTTTATCTTCAAGTTTTGCATAAAATCGCAATAACTTGTGCACAAAAAAATTTAAAAACAAATAATTTTCCTGTTTTATTATCCAGAGGTTCATAAGTATGCCAAGTGATTCGAAAAAATACTAATTTAATACTGACCAAGAACAAATACATAAATAGAAAAGAAAGATCATAATTAAGGACCATACCGGATGGAATCACAATTGTTCCAAAATCCAGGCGATGGCATTTAGAAAATGTTAATACCTTCGTTATAACTGTGGTCAGATCCAGCACAAGTGACCAGAAACTGTTTTCCTTCCAATTACTTAGAAAGTTATTAAGACAAACTTGAAGGGAGATCAAATACAAAGTAGGCTGCAAAAAAATTAAGATTGCATTCTTGATTCTTAGCAACATCCTTACAATGTTAAGATCTCAAAAGTTGCGAGCACGAGGATAATAGGAAAGAGAAAAAGAAGAAAATAAACAACATAAGTGAGCCGAATCAAAAACTGAGTTAAAAACTGAATAGGTGGTACAGAAATAGTGACTTAATTCGGGCCTCACGTCTGGGCGCCAAAAATAATTTATATGTAGCATATAACCAACAATAGGATTTCTTTGACAGTATTAAGAAGCTAGCGCACGTATCTAAGACCGGCCTACTAGCTCGTCGTGCAGAAAGAGATTTTAGAAAAAAGGAAAGTAACTATATGGTTCATTGGTACAATCTCACTGTATAGACGTGTCGGTCTCATTCCGTCTTTGCTGCCCTCCCAACCTAGCCATATAGAGATGAACCAGAATCAACTTTGTTCTACTTAACCATCAGGCAATCAAACAGGAATATTGAAGTATTATGCCATATCCATTATAAATTTAATGTCTGAATATTAAAGGCTACTTTATAACTAAGTTCAATAACTAACATGATTATTTCATTAATTTAAATTTAAGAACTTAAAATTTGTTAAAAATACAAATTTTAAAGAGAAACATTGTAGTATTATCGATATCTCTGCATAATTCTAATTCAGGGGTATTTACCCACTCTATTGTATTTACACGCTTTACACAAAAAATATCACCCAAAGCAGAATGTAATATTATGGATACAAAGAGAAACAAATAATACTCACGATTTACATACCATCCACAATAATGCTCCAACGTTGAAAGGCCTTTCTACGATTGCTTGCAGTGGTTGCTGTAATTTCTAACAGGATAGCAATAATTTATGTTAACAGAGTTACGTGCTTCTCTTTTGCTCTGCTGTAGAAAATGATGATATCAAATATGCAAGGCAATGATCATCATTATTGACTGCAGAGAGATCGATGTTAAATTGTTACAAGCAAAATAAGGTAACCACACAACTGCTAGCATGAGATGCTCAATGCAGTGCCACGATGTGTATGTTTGTCACCCGAATTTATGTTGTGTTGTGTGTTTATCGAGCTTTGCTTGAATATGTGAAACTCGTTTGTAATCACTGATGATAGTACACTAGTGGTTATAATTGAAGTTTTAGAAACAAAATAGAAAAGTTAATTAAGAATTAATTGAATGAAATAATTAAGAGATAGCTTTTCTAGTATGCTTCGGACTGCGCCTTTGCTGTTAGGTCCTGGGTTTTTTAGATTTCCCGGATTTAACACACAATTCGGTATCTTGTTGGATACTGCAAGAGTAGTTTATTCTCTAGTTTCAACCAAACAATCCAAAGGCAATAATGATGGTTTTGAATCACTATTTGTCACTATTTGTGATACTGCACCGGGTTTGGTTGGTTAAATTATGATGTAATTATGCCTTGCTTCCACTTGTTGCCGACCAATGTGACTGACTAGATCAACGTGTTCACTGACAGAGTTTCTGCTCTACACTTTGATCTTAGATTGTGAGCAAAGAACAGACGGTACTCGTTGGTTTTGTTGGATTACTTATTCCTCGTTCAACAATTACAATGATGGTTTGGTACTCAGTGCCAATCGCCTATGCGAGATGGCACTCAGTTTAATGTTTAATTATCATTAAACGCAAGTCAAGATAATGATAATTTGGATTTTTAAATGAATTTAAACCATTTAACTATTTAAAAATTAGCAATGGATAACTTGCCAAGAGTATATTACAGAACAGAAATCTGTAATTACATTTGGCTGTAATATATTATCAACAGACTTATATTAATCGTTTGATATTTGATAAAATCAACTGTCTTGGGCGAACTTATCAACGGTACGTGGAACAGCAAAATGGCCGAGTAAAGCACCTCTCAAGATAAAGAAAATTTTGCTTTAGCTAGAGCAGACAGCGATTCCAGTCTACTAGCAATAAGCGGCGGGTTTTTTTAATATATGTCGCTGTCAGTTTATTATTTCTAATTCGGTATAATTTTATGCAACCCTAGTTATCATGAATTAAGTTCAAGGTACCCCTTACAATGGTTATGCTACTTCGTTCAGGTTGAACGAAAGCATAACAAGTGGAGAAAGATGTAAATGTTTATAAGTGTGGTTGTAAGATTTAGAAGACATTCCAAAATAATTTTAGTTTTATTTAATTCTTTGGTTCCTCTTCTATTGAGCTTACAATCTCGTCACTTGGTTAAAAAATGTTTTTTTTTTTTTTTTGTCATAGAAGTTATTTTGAAGTTATTCTAGGGAGAATATCCCAGACAAAAAACAAGGGAACTGATGAGGATTGGTGGCTCTTTCCGAAACCTAGGTATTCCCTGCCTTACCCCCTGGTAAACATTACCATCATTCTCCACTAATAAACAAACGTTGTTTTTATAAAAACAACAATAAAGGGATAAAGCCTGACAATTTTGCAACAACAAAAAACTTAATACTCTCATTTCCTCCGTAAATTGGGCTTCTGTGTGCCTGTGTAACAGCCATAAAGATCTAGAATATGTAATTGACAAATTTTATGATATTTTAAATAGTTTTAAACTGGAATGTGTTACAACTACTAGAGTTAAAAATTCAAATAAATATCCATGGATAACCCCTGAGTTATCAAGTTTAAAAAATTCTAAAAATTACCTTTTTCGTAAATATAAAAAATCAGGCTTAACAATAGACTACACTAATTACTCTGTTGCTAGATCTAAATATACTTTAGAGTCTCGTATATTGTATAATATTTTCCTAGACAAGATTAAAAATAATTTTAAATCCATCCTAAATCTTTTTATGATTCTGTTAATCTAAAGCGAAAAGTTTCCTCAAATTCCTCAGTATTGAAATATAATAATAAAGAATTAGTCACAGGCACAGATATTGCTGAATGTTTCGCAGATTTTTTTGCCACAACCTATTCCAGTACATCTTGCCAAGATAAAGATTCGTATCCTTGTAAGTTATCACTGGCTGATTAAATTGTTATGCCTTTTCTACAACGACAAGGGGTGGCCAATAGTCTGCGTAGTTTAAAATCGATTAAATGTCCAGGACCGGATGGCATATATAATAATAATAATATAATTCTTAAATATTGTTTAGAAACATTAGCACTTCCTTTAACTATATTGTTTAATTATTCACTTAAATTTGGTCACATTCCTACTTTCTGGAAAAATGTGTCAAATTATAGAGGAATTGCAAAATTGATTGCCATTCCAAAATTGTTTGATAAATTAATTACTGCAGTAATTTCACTGAAAATTCAATCTATATTGAGTCCATATCAGCATGGTTTTCGTAGTGGTCTTTCAACTACAACAAATCTTATACAATTTACGTCAACAGTAATAAAAGGATTTGTTCAGCGTAAACAAACTGATACAATTTATAGCGATTTTAGTAAAGCTTTTGATTGGGTTAACCATGAACTCCTAATATATAAATTAAATTATATGGGTTTCAACACAAACTTAGTCAAATGGACCGGTCCTCTTTCTTTTATTTACCAACGATTTACATAATTCCATAAATTACTCTAAATTGTTAAAGTACGCAGATGATGTTAAATTATTCATTTCCCATAATTGTAATAAACAAGCTAGTTTACTTCAAAACGATTTAAATAGCCTTTTTCAATGGTGCAGGTTAAATTGTATGGAGTTAAATTTAAGCAAATGTAAGCATATGTGCTTCACCAGATCTTCTTCTCTGATATTACAATATAATATTGACGGAATTTCATTACCAACTGTAGATTTATATGTAGATCTAGGCCTCTTGATGGATCCAAAATTAAAATTTAATAGCCATGTAATAACAATGATAAATAAAGCAAATGGTGTTTTAGGTTTTGTTAAACGGTGGGCCAAAGAATTTTTTGATCCATATGTAACAAAACAGTTAATTACGTCTCTTGTTAGACCTATATTAGAATACGGTTATGTTGTATGGGATCCTCAATATGCAATATACTCAGATGAAATAGAATCCGTGCAAAATCAATTTCAGCTATTTGCTTTACGAGGTTTACATTGGAATAATGATTTTGTTTTGCCTTCCTATGCTAGCAGGCTAAAATTAATTAGATTGCCTACACTTAAAATATTAAATGGTAATGTAGATTTCCTAATCTCATCTATTAGAATTAATTTTCCGTTTAGGTATAGTAGATACTACCAATTATTATATACTGATTTTCACCGCACGAATTATACAATGGGTTAACCTCTTAGCAAAATGTGTGATACCTATAGTTGTTCCAAAAACCCTTACAAATGTTCCAAATCCTGTCTGGCCATACCTTTCCTAGAACTTGTAAATATGTATATCTATATTCATATACAAATAAAAAGTGATAAAAAATTTAAGCATTATGGGCACATGCAATTGTCAGCGAGGGTTCTAACCCTACTTGGCCAAATAATTGTTAAAAATTCAAATTTTTACTAGTAAATAATAAATAAGAGAAAAACAATTACCTGCGCGCCCCCAGATGGTTGATGTATCATTATTCTTGCGTTTGGAAGAGAATAACGCATGCCTGGGGCACCCGCCGTAAGAAGCAATGAACCCATGGACGATGCTTGTCCAACACACCATGTTGCAATTGGTGGTTTTACGTATTGCATTGTGTCGTATATAGCCAAACCGGCTGTGACAACGCCACCTGGAGAATTTATATACATGTGGATAGGCTTATTTGAATGTTCCGCTTGAAGAAACAATAGCTGGGCTACCACTAATGAACTTAAGTCATCATGTATTGGTCCCATTAAACATATTATGCGTTCTTTGAGCAATCGAGAAAATATATCATATGCCCGTTCACCGCGCCCTGTCTGCTCCACAACAATTGGCACCAAATGTAAGTCTCGGCGAAAATGCAATCCGCTGTTCTAATAACACCAAACATATTTAACTAGTTTAAAAACAATGAAAATAATAAAGCTTACTATTAACTTATTAATTGTTCTCGCAATCATCATTGCGTACTTCCCAAATGACCAAGTTCAATTGAAGTTCATCATTAGAATCTACTAGTTTTACAATTTGTTTCGATATAATCGAAAATCGGTTTATTTCGATATAATCGAAAATCGTAGTTAATCGCGTAAAAATGTGAAATTTAAACACCTGCGCAAGGTAGATCTAACAGGTAACCGCATCGGTGAATTGCTACAACAAAGCAACTTTTGTGGTACTCTTAAATGTCAAAATTGGCATCTAAGGCGAAAAATATATATTCGCCATGACATTTAAAGTTTGCGGCAAATTTGTTTCAACCAATCAGAAACGAGATGATTGTTTACATTTTATGTTGTGTGTGGAAATTAATCTAAGTAATTATGACTCTCGGGGACCATTGCAAAAGTCCCAAGTTGATAGTCAGCCCTCGACATGTTTATACAAACCCACAACTGTAATGCTAGAAACACAATTGGAGCGAACGACGAATTTTTTCGCGGCGTATGTTCGTCGTCAAAAATAAAAAACATATGTGTATATGGAAGTGCACACAATCACGGCGCCGGCGAAAATTTCGTCGGTCGCCGCGAACTCAATTAGCTTTATTTCTATTTCATACGCCGGCGAACGGCGACAAAACAGTACAAGGTGGCCATACTTGTACGAATTTTATGTGTTTTAGTAAATAAAGTTACTTTTTACTTTAGAATTTGTTATGGTCACTCTACTATCTGTTATTCGTATAAAAAACATAAATAATTTGTTTATTTATTTGTGCACTTGCGCCTGAGTGAAGATGGATATCAGTGAATTTATAATAGAGAAGATGGACATAACTGAAATAATAAAGAATTATGAGTTCTTGTATAATTTTCATTGTAGTCAACAAATGAGCAAAAAGTAAACAACTTGATCAGCTGTTTTATAATTTCGTCGGTATTGTGTTCCATACGACGAATTTTCGTGGCTCATTTTGTCGCCGCGTAGGGCGAAATTCGTCGTTCGCTCCAATTGTGTTCCTAGCATAATATCTTCTACGTCTGGGCCGCCTGGAAATGTCCAAGCTAAATTACATTTTAAGGCCAGTGCTGAACATAATCTAAACACCTAGGATTTGAATTAAATTGCACCACAAGATATGGATTTACCCGCCAACATCTCCAGCGACATTGCCCAAAATGTATCGCATGTTAACAGTGTACATATGTAGCAGCAGTAACAACAAATCTCGAATTGTTCCATGCAAAATCAGGGCACCAACACTCCAATGCATATGGCCATACATACACCACAACAGCAGAATATGAATATCAGTAATCAAAATCTCAATAATTTGGCCAATAGCCAACAACATAATACCAAACAACAAAATCTTTTCCTTTTTCATTTTTTTAATTTTTTTAGAGGTAATCAGGTCAGAAAAAAATACTTTTAGTGAAGAAGACATAAACAAACTTTGTTTTTGTGTTGCATTTATTTAGGGCGAATTCAGCATTACAACAACTTGTTTTGACATTTAAAGGTGCCGTCAGCTGGGCTGATGCGACTACCTTGTAGATCTACCTTACACCTGCGCGAAGTTAGCAAAGTTGCTAACTATCGATAACATCGAATTTCACCAAAATTACAGGGTGACTCAGAACATCGAAATTTCACATTTATACTTTTTTTCAACTGTGCATCAGAGAAAAAACCTGAAACCGATTTGAAAACAAAATTAATTTATAAAATTATGAATGAAAAAGTCCATAAAACAAACAAATTTTGTTTCATAATGAATTCTCATACCCCAGTTATTAATTCCATACATAACATCGCAAATCAGTTTATGATACAACAACATTTTCAAATTCTGATATTTCACTGGTGGTAAATGAAAAACAATTCTCGAATTGTTCCATGCAAAATCAGGGCACCAACACTCCAATGCATATGGCCATACATGCACCACAACAGCAGAATATGAATATCAGTAATCAAAATCTCAATAATTTGGCCAATAGCCAACAACATAATACCAAACAACAAAATCTTTTCCTTTTTCATTTTTTTAATTTTTTTAGAGGTAATCAGGTCAGAAAAAAATACTTTTAGTGAAGAAGACATAAACAAACTTTGTTTTTGTGTTGCATTTATTTAGGGCGAATTCAGCATTACAACAACTTGTTTTGACATTTAAAGGTGCCGTCAGCTGGGCTGATGCGACTACCTTGTAGATCTACCTTACACCTGCGCGAAGTTAGCAAAGTTGCTAACTATCGATAACATCGAATTTCACCAAAATTACAGGGTGACTCAGAACATCGAAATTTCACATTTATACTTTTTTTCAACTGTGCATCAGAGAAAAAACCTGAAACCGATTTGAAAACAAAATTAATTTATAAAATTATGAATGAAAAAGTCCATAAAACAAACAAATTTTGTTTCATAATGAATTCTCATACCCCAGTTATTAATTCCATACATAACATCGCAAATCAGTTTATGATACAACAACATTTTCAAATTCTGATATTTCACTGGTGGTAAATGAAAAACAATTCTCGAATTGTTCCATGCAAAATCAGGGCACCAACACTCCAATGCATATGGCCATACATGCACCACAACAGCAGAATATGAATATCAGTAATCAAAATCTCAATAATTTGGCCAATAGCCAACAACATAATACCAAACAACAACAACGTTTCCTTTTTCATTTAAAAAAAAAAAATTTTACTGGTTATCAGGTCAGAAAAGAATACTTTTAGTGTTCACGGATAAGTGAACATGTTTTTATAATAAAAGAGAATAGCGGGGTCTACCTAGTGTAGAAGAGAAAGGTTAGTTAAACAGGGATCTTTTTAATACAGTCCACATTAAATACGATAAGAACATGTGGCGAGCAGACCTTTGAGTTAGAAATAAATAATTCAATTGCTGCATGTGGTATGTTTGAGTTAGATTACGGAATGAGATCTTAACTCATACTGATAAACAAGTGTAGCATGTTTGCTTGCCACAAGTGAGATAGCTACGCATGTTTTATGACCTCCCCTAGGGTTAATGGCGGCATGGTGCACAGGCATGTGTACATTTGTATCTCTCTATTTCTCTCTCTCTCTCTTACACTTTATGCTAGACTATGTTAAGGAAAATGATCATAAGTAGAACTTAAGAATTATTTTAAATGAATAAATCAGTGTAGTAAAAATAGTCAAACGGTGCACACATTATTCCGCGTACATCTGGTCCATCGAGCCTTAACATAAAATAATAATAATAAAAGAATCAGCAAAATAAATGAAACGTATAACAAAATGGACAAAACTGAAACCCTGATAAAAAGAACCAAAGAGACATAGTCGACAGTCTGGTGAAAATTAAGCACCAGCTGAAAGATCCAATGCGCACTCGTAGAGTGTCCGTAATGGAAAGAACTGCTAGAGGAATATGGGACATTTTCCTAAAAAATCACGAGATATTGATGTCGAAACCGTTTAAATATGGTGACTATTACAAAAAAGATGAATACGGCTACACCCGAGAATTGATGCAGGAAATTGAGAAAACAATTGATGAAATTAAAACAGGAGAATTAAGATCTCAAAAATTGCTTTCGGAAGACTCAACAGAAGCTGAATAAACTGGAGCAGACAATAAATTGATGGCGACAGACAATAAGGATGATAAAGGAATGGAGACTCAAAACCTACGACCCGAAATAGAGGAAAGGGAAGAATTGGGTGCAAGGAGCATTCAATGAAATTTCCCTAGTATGCGGAGTCAAAAGGAGATTACGGCAAGAGAAACGGCGGTGACGGCGAGCAAACACGAAGAGGGGGCCTCACATCTGGGCAAAAAGGCGTCAGACATAAGGGATGTGACTGTGGGGTCATACTCCCGGGAGGACGATTCGTTGGAAAGCTCGGCATCGACCAAGATGGAGTTAGAGGCAAGAGGGATCATCCGAGATATGGAAGAAACGGCGGTGTTGGCGAGCAAAAGCGACGAGGGGGCTTCAAATCTGAACATAAGGGAGTCAGGCAAAAGGGATGTGGCTGTGGGGTCATACTCACGGGAGTACGATTCGTTGGAAAGCTCGGCACCGACCAAGATCGAGTTAGAGGCTAGAGGGATCATACGAGAGGTGGAATGTACTATGATACTGATGGATAGCCTAGAGACAGAAAAGGATATAGAGACAGCATTTAATTTTATCGGAAATATTGTGAAGACCGCGGAAAGAGAGATACTAACCGATCCAGAAATTCAGGAACAATGGAGACGACTGTTAATGAAGAAATCAAAAATGTTAGCAGCGATCAGAGAAGCTCAGTCAAAAATAGCAGAAAGGGTGGAGCAGCCGTACACCATCATCTATAAAAGGGAAATTGGAGTTCCCACATTCAGTGGTGATATAAGTGAATGGGAATCGTTTCATGATCTTTTCAAGAGCCTAGTGCACGATGCACCGTACTACACCAACGTGGAAAAAATGCATAGGCTAAAGGCGGCGGTAAAAGGAGAGGCGAGTCATATAATACAACATCTAAGGACGCAGGACAACTTTTATGACGAGGCGCTACAGTTGTTGAAATTAACATACGAGAATCGGAGGGTGCTATTCAATAAGATGGTGGATGACATTTTGGATCAGCCAACAATG